TCTGATCTTCAAATTTGGCAGGGCACGAGTTTAATTTCTGTTACTTGCAGTCTCAAAAAATTATTTAGAATTAATTAAATACAAGAATTGTTTTCAAGACCACTGATGATGAATATTTGACAATATTCTAAACAGCTGTATGGTCAACCAAAAAATCAAAAATAATTTTGGTCAAAAATCAAAAATAAGAAGCAATTGTCCATACATCTACATGCAAACCGCTGATTTAACCAATAATTGCGCTTATTGGAAATGGCACTTCTTTGTCTGTTCTCTAACCTGACCAGCAACCAGTAGTCTAAATGACGTGTTTATTATTATTATTATTATTGAGTAAGGGATCGTGCACTGCGACCTAAAAGATCTATTGTGCCCCTTTGTCGGGTTAGAGTATTTCTCCAAGTCCGATTTCTTTAATGAAAGACAGTATGGATCCTATCTTCCCCAGTCTTGAATCCTTATGATCCATGAAATACCCTCCTAGGTGTTTCTTTCGTTTATGCATCAGTGCCGGGCACTCCCCAAGCACATGGTATGCCGTTTCTCTCTCTTCCCTGCAGTATCTGCAGTCTGAGTTGGATTGAATTCCTAACTTCAATAGGTGATTATTCAATCTGCAGTGACCGGTCAGTAATCCCGTAATAATTCTTATGTTAGTCTTTGATTGCACTATGCAATCTTTAAAGCGTTTTAGGTTGTAAGTCCCTAAAAGCATTTTAGATTGTGAGAGTCTTGGTAGCATTAACCAATAGAGTTCTCTCTCTTTTTTCTCTGCGTCATTCATGATAATGGATAGAGCTCCTTTGCCTAGACCACAAAATGGTTCTGGGCCTATCATTCTTGATGCCGCGCCTCTTCTTGCAAGTTTGTCTGCCATTTCATTACCTTGGATACCAGTATGTCCCGGAATCCATAAAAGGTGCACTTGATTGATCCCACCGAGTGTGTTTAGCTTGTCAATGCATTCCCATACCAGTTTGGATGTTACCTGGTAAGATATGAGTGCCATTATAGCTGCCTAGCTGTCAGTCAGTATTGCAATTTTACGGTTCCGGTAGTTACGTTCAAGATTGAAACTGGCGCATCTATCTATCGCGTATATTTCCGCTTGAAAGATGGTTGTATTGTTTCCTAATGCTTCCCAGTATTTTTTGCCTGGTCCATAAACACCAGCTCCAGTTCCCTCATTGGTGAGAGAGCCGTCTGTATACCATGTTATCATGGTTTCTTTTATTTTTGGGATGTTAGACAAACCTTCCCAGTTCTTTTTGTTGCCAAGTTCAGTTTTGAAGTTTTTTGTAAAGTTATGCTTTACAATCATCCTGTCCATTGGCATTTCAATTTCTGGGATTTGTGCAGCCAAAGTATCAAGTTTTTTGCTATTGGTTTCAAGACCAGTCACCTTATTTGTATTTACTCTTAGAGCAGCCCTCTTCGCCTGTGATTGCACATAGATATGAAGAGGAGTAAGTTCCATGAGTACTTCAATTGATGACGTGGGACATGTTCTCATTGCTCCTGTTATGCTTACACATGCAAGTCGTTGTACCTTGTTGAGTGTGTTGATAACGCTTTGTTGATTTGTGCAGTTCTGCCAGACTATTGATCCGTAGGTGATCATTGGTCTGATTACTGCTGTGTATATCCATCGCAGTGACTTTGGTGTACATCCCCAATTTTTACCTGCGATGGATCTACATGTCATAAAGGCTTTGGTTGCCTTTTTTGTCATTTTTTGGATATGAGATTTCCATGTTAATTTTTGGTCTAAAATTATACCCAAAAATTTTACCACCTTTTGTAGTTTTATTTCAAACCCATCTAAGCGGATGGGTTTAAGGTTTTTTATTTTGTATTTCTTAGTGAATAGCACAATGGTTGTTTTTGCTGGATTTATTTTCAGCCCAACCGAATTGCACCATTCTTTAGTTAGTTTTAAGCCTAACTGGATTCTTTCGCACAGAGTACTCTCAAATTTTCCTCTGCAGATAATTACCACATCATCGGCGTACCCCTGGATTTGGAAACCATTCCTGTCCAGTTTTACCAATAGTTCATCCACTACCATACTCCACATAAGGGGTGATAATACTCCACCTTGTGGGCACCCTCGCGAAGTATTTACAAAAATATTACCATTGCTGGTCGGAATTTCTACTCTCCTGGTGCGAAGCATATTGCTCATCCAGCGTGAGAGTGTGCCATTGATTCCTCTTTTAGAAATAGTTGAGTTTATAACCTCATGTGAAGTGTTATCAAAGGCTCCTTCAATGTCTAAGAAAGCGCAAATTGCTATCTCTTTCTTATCTATGCTGTCCTGAATCGTGTTACTT